CTGAGTTCTGGTCAGGATCGTCCGCGATCCCGGTCTGGAACACGTCCATTGTTGTTTCCGCATCGCCTGATGGCGAGATCTTCAAAAAATCATACAGCGCGTTGTCTACGAAGCGTTGATAAATCTGCGGGGCATTCGTTAGGCCAAAAGGCATGCGACTCCATTCAAATAGTCCAAACGGGATGATAAATGCTGAGATCTCGCGAAACCGATCCGGCATGGGCACGACCCAGAAGCCGCTGGCCATATCCAGCGAACAGTACCATAGTGCTTTATCAAGATCTTCTAGCAGATCGCTGATCAGGAGCATAGGATAGACCACCAATCTCGTGAGGTTGTTTACCAAACTTGTAGTCAATGCACAACCTGATATCCACACCGTTACTCTTGCGAACAATCCCGATCGGTGAGGCCCATGACGATGTCGAGGGTCGGATGATCTCGGCTACCACGAGGCCCTTGATCAGGCCTGCGACCTTTTCCCGAAATCGCATGGGCACTTTCCGGGTTCGCAGTGCGATCGGTTTCGCATTTCCGACATCGATATCGCATACGACGCCCTTGGCTGCCGGGGGTAAGGCGTACCCTTTGCCGATCAGGAGATGCCGTTTCTTCCAGATAATCTGCGGGAGCCTCTCGATCTCCTCGGGGGTGGTCGATCCTGAGTCTCCCACCTGTAGATCTTCGATGCTGCCCTTCGCGGTCGTCGAGATCTGGATTTTGGGGAGGACAGCGAGGTTCCCTTCAAGATCTTCCGCTGAGAGATCACCACTATCATGGTAATATATCTCCTCGTCGTCCTCGGCATCCTGTGGGGTGGTCGCTGTAGCTCCTTCTGCCGGCAGATCTCGTTGTTCGACGCCCTTAGTAGGACAGATCGGGAGTTTCGCGTCGGGTTCTTCGTCGGGATCGAGTTTGATCTGGACTTGATCGAGTTGGATCTGGGTTTGATTTTCCGTTTTCGGCTCGATATCCTTGGTGTCAGTCAGATTTTCCGTCTTGATATCATTGGTGTCCCTCCGATCGGTGGCCTGGTCCGGCATACTCTCACTTATCCCGCCGCCCTCAGTAACGCCGCCCAGGTATCGATCGGCAGCGGGGAAAGGCGTTGGCGTAGATGGGCATCCCCTTTCTGGATCGGGAGGTTCTGCCTCGATCTGAGTTGCGTCGGCCATTCCCGCCCTCGGTCGGGATTCTAGGGTCGATATCAACGTTCGATCTCTGTCAATATCATCGGATGCCGGTCGGCGAAGTATCCATCGTGACGTGGGATATGATGGTCGCGGTACTGCCGGCTCCGCAGAGCTCTCTATAAGTTCAGGGGGTCCCGATCTAGTATCCACCGGCGATTCCAATGCCAGACTCTGCCATTCCCGATAGCGACATGACCTGAGAGACACGAAACCTGGGGATCGAGGCGCTTTGACCTGATCCAGTATCATACCAACGTCCAGACGTTGGTCCAGCCGTAGGATTTCTTCTCCGATGTTCGAGATCACCAGGTAGCGGATCCGGCCGGGGCCTTCGGTCACAGTCGGTACCCATCGTTCTCCTCTGGTCACCCACTATTTCTTGGTACCATCTGCGGATCTGGTTGTAAAACTCTTCCATGGTGCCTCATGGACGTCCCTGCACCCACAACATCCATTCAGACAGCGATCCGTAGGGTGACCTCCCTTCCCACATGTTTCACATGTCAGACGCTTCCAACAGTCCAGATCCGCGTGTTTCCTGGACCCACAATGAGAACAGCGGTCACGATCTGGGTGATCTCTGTTTCCCGGGCTGCGACGGTCCGAGATCCGGGATCCCTCAGACGCTTTCGTTCGGGATCGCGCTGGATCTGGGTTCTGCAAGGCGCCCCCAGTACTAATCAACTTCTCTACTGCCGCAGCGAGGGAAATCCTTCGCAGGTCACCTTCCGAGTCAGATCCGTCCGATCCTGAAACCCCTTCTGACTAGGAACTCGGATCATGCGTTTGGATCACGCGTACCGCAGCACGGGCTGGAGCTGTCGGAGCGCTGGCCGGGGTCTTCTGTCGAAATTTCGACACGAACGCAGATCGGCGTTGTCTACTCTTAGCTCGTTCCCGCGCACGGAGAACTTCCTCCAGCTCGTCGACGTCAGCCAGTCGCAATAGTGTTAGGCGATCTGCCATTTCGGGATCGCCCAACGTTTCGATGTAATGATCGACGTGTTCTCGGCGCGCCTTCGGATTTCCATCCTTGATTTTGAGTTTGGCTGGCAGAGCAGCCAAGTTCAGTCGATACTGATAGTCCAGTGGGGTCTCCTCGGATCGCTTTCGAGCATGATAGTATTGCCACGCCACTGACATACCCAGACCACAATATTGGGTTTGGAAACTTTCGAGCAGATCCGCCCATTTGGTCTTGGTAGTCCGGTTTAACTGTCGGTGCCAGTTCTTGGCCGACCCCACCATCAGATCCCCGAACGTGAGGCATTGCTCCTCTTCGGTTGGTTGATCTCGCTGGAACGCTGATTTCACTTTGCCGATCCAAGCTCTGGCGCGATCTTCGTCCATATCCTTCCCGGAAAACTCCTTCAGATCCGAGATGGCTGAAATTCGTACTCTTTGGATCAGCGATGAAGGGTTCCCAGAGCTGATCGCAGCCGTGGCGACCGCGGCTCGGCCGAAGTTATGACCGGAGGATCTAGGAATCCCGAGATCGTCGGGGTCGTACTCCCAGGAGTCTAAATCCGGCGTGTCGACGGACTCCATGTCGATATCTTGCGTCCCGAGAGGTGGTGGTTACACTGTCACTAGAATTTGTTCCTTCAGGAATCGATCCATCGCCATCTGGAAATACTCGTCCAATTTGTTGCTAGATCTTGTCGAATCGGTCGTGGGAGTCGTCCGTCCTGCCAGGATCGGGCGCTCTTACGGCTGATCGAGCTTCTCTGGGGTCTGACTTAGTCCTGCTGGCCGTTGATCCGGCCTGATCACGCGTGATCTCGGATATTTGGCGCCTGAGGGCCCTAGTGACATACGTTACGGGGCTCGGGGAGAATCTGAATCCGGTTCCGAGGTAGACGACGCGTAATGTGACGACCCGGTCTGATATTTCAGATCTGGTGTTTGGACACGTTCGTCGACCACGAGCTTGAGCGATTCGTAGAGATCTTGAGTCACCGCCTGGATCGCCCCCAGTTTCGTCTCGAACAGGGCATCCGGATCAAATTCTCCTGCTACTAATCCAGCCTCTTGGAGGAGAACCAGCAGGATCTTCACCGCGTTCAGCCTATCTGTGCTGGTGTTGGGCTTGGATATCGGGCCTGTCAGATCGCTGATCTGGCAGACCTGTATAATCGCGAGGACGGGGTCCTGCAGCAGCTTCTCGCTCAGGATCTTGCGATAGTAGCTAGCTCGATCATGTCCTTGGCGGTTGTCGATATCGGCTTATGCGCGTCTTCCGATTCCGAATCTGGTGCCTTCAGCTTCGTCTGAGCGGCCTTGATCTTCTTTGTCTTGGACGACCTTGTCGAGGCCGCCGACTTGGTGGACAGATTGGACTTCAACTTAGTCGTGTCCTTGTCCGTTGTGTGCGGATCTAGATTCTCATCTAGATCCGTGGTGACCGCCGCCGCGGTCTTGAGAGGAATTCGAGGTTTTCCTTCAAAATCTGGATCTTGATCCAGGTCCGCCTCGTGTCTGTCAGCACAGATCCTCTTCAAACTCCGCTGATCTATGGGTCTTGCTGTATTAAGCGCTGCCTCCGTCAATCCAGCATTCGTAGGCACTTCTTCCCTGTATTCGTCCATGATCTTGACATCTTCTTGGGACTCACGGTGAAGTCCCTGGTTCGAATCCGGGCACGCGCACCATTGTGGTGAAGCGGAATCCGTGAAAATCTTGTGATCGCGGTTCCCGATACCACTTTCCCCCGGACACCGACTAACGAAGGGCCCTCCGATGGTCCGTGATCTAGTTGTGTTCTTGCTCACCTTGTGTACCCGACGGCGGGCGGGTTACGCTCTCCTGGGTGACTCGTAAGACGTCGAGCGGTGAAGATCTAGACGCAGGGGCTTGATGTAGCGTGGGACTTCTTCACTCTACCCCGATTTT